ATTAAAACCAGAAAGGCTTTCTGTGATCCAGAGCAGAAAAATGAACGGAGATATTGGAAATTGGGAAATATCCAAGTTCTTCATAAGCAGAGTTAGTAGAGCATTTCATCTTAGGATAAGAGAAGTATTATCATGCTCTTGGATACGTATGAGTGTATCCATAAGCCCTTAAGATTCTGAAATGCCACTTCAGAACAAATCACACATTCAACATATCACTCAGACCCTAATCATTCAATCTGAGGGACCCCATTCATTTCTTAGAGAGAGAAAGATGTTGAAATTTGCTTTTCTGTGACTTACTCATGAGTAATATAATGGCGATATTCAATAGCCTCTTTTTATACATGTTTTCTTCACACAGCCCATAATTGCTTCTTGTTCAATGGCATGCATGTAAGTGTTCATCAGATCATTCCGTATGATTCCACATCATGTCATTCAGGCCCCACTTTTTGGCACAATGGCTATCTAAAGCTTTTTCACTGAAGATGACTTAATGAAGAGGTTACATATAAATATAGGGGAGTTAACATTTCCCTCTTTTTGACTTAGGGCCTTTGGTATCAATGAACTTCTTAGGCAGCCTTACTACCCATTCCACTTAGTACCACAGTATGTGTTGGTCCTTTACTTTCCCCATCTCTTTTTATCCTCTTTATATGGGAGGGTTCTGGATATGGCTCCTCTCTATCCCGTGTCCTCAATCCAGACCTTTATCCCATTTACCAGGAAGGTAGTTTGAAGACGAAGTGAGAGATAGCCACGTCCTGCAGAATATAAGAAAGATTCTTCTGGTTGCTTTCCTCAGTCCTGTTCTTTCTTTTAGCACACTGATGGCACAGTTTAAATTTTTAAAGATGATTTTTCCTAACTTCCCTAATGCTACTTCTGCCAATACTTTCAGATTCATAGAACAAATTTTTGGTTATGAGGCTAAAAATATGAAAAAGCATTCAAATGCAACACTAAAGTAATGGAAAATTGCAATAAAACATTATTAAGTTTGACTAATCATGGATTTAATGATTCATGGATAAAATAATTCCCATATCATGATGCGCAGTGCATTTCCTCTTGAAAGAACTAGACAGCCAAGAAAGTACATTTTTTATCTTTTTAAAACTTGAGTCCATTGTTTTAGTACTTTATAATTTCTAAATTATGGAAGCCACTATCACTTTTGAGTTAAACACAGACATTTTCCAAAGTTAATTCTAATGTGCTTTCTGAAGTAGCTTTTAATTAATAAACTACACCTGTATTAAGAGAAGTCAAATTCTAAAAACATAATATGTCTACAGTTTATCAGCTATAGTAATACACATTTTGGAAAAAATATATAAATTAAAGAAATCTTTAAAGATGCTGGTTACTCTCACAACAGGGCGTTAAGGAGGGGAATGTCATGTAGCAAAAGTGAGATCTCTTATTGAAATCATTTTTGATCTTCTTATCATGTAGCACACACCAATATAAGTATCTCCCAGAAAGTAACATACTCCAAGATTTTGAGAAGGTATCTCTAACACCATGATTCTAAGAAGCATTAAAAAACACTATACCTGGGCTGCTTCATTTCCTTCTTGAAGTTCTTTTATAGTCTGTTGACATTTTGATTCAATCTTCTTAGTTTTTTCAGCAGCTGTCTGCTTTTCTTCTTCATAGGCCATAGCGAGTATGCCCAAGAATAAACTTGCCATGTAAAAGGCAAACCAAAAACTTACCACAACAAAAAATATCATGTAGATCTTCCCAGAAGCATAAAGGATCTAAGGTAGAATATAAGACACAAGAAGGAAATGTTATTTATCTTTCTGTATTCTCCCATTTTAAGATTAAAAATGATATTTTGTTATAAAAATTATTTAGCCATAAGTGAAATGAAATCACAGGACAGATTAAGCACTGGTTCTACCTGAAGAAATAAACAAAAAGTTCCTCAGCTTTAGACATGTATGCAAGGTTTATAAAACCAAGGGAAGAATTTAGTAATTAAGTTATTAGGGTGAATATTTGACGTTTTTATGTCTTCTTACCCATTTCATGTCGGGATATATAAATCTGTAAGAAAACTGTAAAGAAATATATTAAGATAGAAAAAATCCAAATTAATGATTTCCCCTGTGTCAGAAGGAAGCTGATATAATCAGAAAAAACTTCCAGTGAGAAGTTTTAGATAGTTAGATAGAAGTTTAGATAGTTTAGATAGAGGTTTTAGACTGTATAGATAATGCTTTATTTCTTAATATGAGTATATGGAAGTGTGTTACAGCATTTTTGTAAGTTTTGTATACAAAATATTTCATAGCAGAACAAAAAAAAAATAGAAAAACAACCTGAAAGGAAAATTATCATCTCTCAATAAAGAAGCTGGACAGTCTTGATACAGTTATTTTCTTTGCAGTAGAATCTTTAAATATATGAAGTTTAATCAAGTCAGAGAATGTTTGGAGATTATTTTGTTCTGAACATTACTTTACGTAAAAATCACAGCAAAGTGCAAAATCAGGTCTACACAAGGGGTGGGAAGCAGAAATATTTGTATGGATGTCAGAGTACCTGCTTTGGTGAGGAACCTTTCGACAAACTGTATGAGAATGTCATATAAGTCATTTATATAAAGTCATTACAGTGGGTGATATTTATGGATAGAAAAATATAAAATTTTATATTTCCAAACTGAGCACTGACTAGCTTTTATTTCATAATAATTACCTAAGATAGACCAGAAAATTTAAAGATTAAAAAAATTATAAGTAGAACATTAAAAATGCAAAATTTTGTTTGCCGATTTATCCTCGTTGATTAAAAGTACATGACCAATTCATGAAAACAAATGAGAATAGTCTTAATTAATACTTGTACCCAGGGTGCATCAAAGAGTACCTGAATCAAATAAATATTTTTTGAATTATTGGAAAATAATAATCTCCAAAATTGTTCTCTGTGGGAATAATTGCTAACTTTCCATAGCCATAATTAGTTCAGTCTAGGGCAATGCTCAAGAGTACAAATTCAGGCCAAATCAAAGCAAACTCTATCCACACTAGTCAAGAAAAACTTAAGAGTACAATAACGAAGGTTCTCAGGACTCCAACACCAGGACACTCCCAGACTGGTTTACCATTTCACTGGTAGAGGGAAAGGATTGTCTTTAAACCAATGATAACAGGAAAATTAGCTAACACATTTTTGGGGCTATAAACAGAAAACAAGACCTTTATTAATATATAAAGTGATATAGTGCATAAATATTGACTTGATTTTTCATTTATTAAAATTTACATTAATCATTTCTATGTGTTAGGTGCTGAGAACACAAAAGTTACAATAAGAAAAAAATATTTCTTCTCTGGTGGTTTGTCTCTTAGTCGGGGAAATAGCTGGACAAGCAACTAAAATACCACTATCCAAGGAAATTATAGTGGACTGCAGGACTCCAGTGCAGGATATGCCTTACTCTGAAAGGAAAATTTGGGGAAAAGTTCAAAGAAATCCTACCTTTGAATTATGAATTTCAGGCATGAGACCAAAGGCAGATAGAAGGAAACCTGGATTCAGGCAGAGGGTACACCATACATGGTAATAAGGAATTATGAGAAAAGCTCATTTAGGAAATAGCAAGTCTTTTTCATACTGAAGTAAAGCAGAGAGTACATATTGGGATATCGTTAGGAAATAAATCTGAAGAAGTATGCAGAGACTAGCTCTTAAAGGGCACTGTGTATCAGGCATATGGACTTTGAACTTCATCCCATAGGAATCTGGAAATCACTAAAGGATTTTTAGAAGGATAACATGATAAGATTATTTTAGAAATAAGCTCCCAGTGTTATGGAGGGAACACTGATACTTGTTAAAAAGATTGGGAAATAACAATATAAATACTAATCTAACAAAATTAGAAAAATATGGTCTGCACAAAAATATAACTTGTAATATTTTCATGTATTTCTTTTATTAATACCAATAATACAACTGTACTACAGGTATGTTTCAGTCACTTGTTTTCCATTTAACAATAGATTATGAACCTTCATCTATGCTCAAAATACATCACATTATCGTATCATTATTAATGACCAGTACACACACATACATGCCCCATAATTTATCAAGTCAATCAAAACAAATATTGTATTTATGTGCATTTAATAAAAGAATATTCTACCTCAACTTTAAATACCTTTGGAATTTATAACTAACATCTTTTTATCTAGTAGCTCTTGATACTATGCTGCTTCAATAATAACATTGTATAGTCCACTGTAATGAAACTTCTCTTCAAATAAAAACTGAATGCCCATGTTAATGAATATTATACCTTCCTGAGAAACTATGGCACACGCATAATTAGTTATAAAGACAGACTCTCAGAATTTAAATTTCAAGTCTCATTACAGCAAACCTTCTGTTATCATAATTGGAGCATGACTCAACAGTAAAATGGAATGAGAAGAAATAGAGGAATAAAGAGAATTGGAACATTCTATATATACAATAAACAATTGTTTAATACATGGTAATCTCATAAATTCAAAGAGTTCTAACTAAAGAATTAGTACCTAGAAATGTTCTTTCCTTTGTTAATATCAAATGTGTAGTATCACAGGCTTCGGAGCGGGACAATAATCTGAGCTCTCACAGGTTCACCTGTTGTAAATTTGGGGCGGCTACTCAACCTCACTGAATTTCAGTGTCTTCATATAAAAGGCAAGTATAGACATAGATACACACACACACACACACACACACACACACATACATACTGACCATGTTGAATTATTGCGAACATTAAATAAGATATCACACACAGAAGCACAAACCTGGCACAGCAGCCAGCATATGGTTTGACATTCAGTAACTCTGGTTCTCTTTTCTTTTGTCCTCAAACTCCTTTCCATATAAAAGTTTAATTAAAAAAAAATTACATTTGACCATTATTTTAGAAGGGCGGGCATTCTTAAGTGCAGTGAAGACTCTCTCTGTTCTTACCTGGTGATAAAGTGCTTCGGGATAATCCTGGGTCATTAACCGAAATAGGGCAAATAAGGCCCAGCCAAAATTGTCAAAATTTGTGAAGCCATGATCAGGATTTATGCCAGCTTTTACACACACATATCCTTCAGGACACTGACTAAAGAAGACAAAGAAAAGAAAAACTGCTTACTGTTAAGTGATTTTCAGGTTATGGACAATTTATAAACATAGAACATCTGTCCATGAATAATAGAGGGCTCCCTTATCCACAGGAAGTAATTAGTCTTCTCCCAATTTCCAGTCAAAATGTCACAAACCAGTTCAATTTTAAGTTGATGTTTAAGTGTTGATACATATGTTCAAATTGTTTTTAAGAGATGTTGAACCAAGTGTAAATCAGACTATAAGCCTTCACTAAAACTGTGACATTTTATATATTTATTGTGTACAACATGATGTTTTGGAATGTGTATACATTGTGGAATGGCTAAATTGAACTAATTAACATATGCATTATCTCACATACTTATTTTTTGTAGTGGGAATATTTAAAACTTACTGGCTTAGAAAATTTCAAGAATGCAATGCAGTGTATTAACTATAGTCTTACTACTCAATATCAAAGGGGAACTACCTGAACGTCACAGTGAGAGTACAACTGGTGGAAAATAGTACTGATAAAAATAAAACTGCAGCAATAGAGGTTAAATTTTCAAACGATCTCATCTCAAACCTTTAGAGCCCATTATTTAAGGGTGAGAAAATATTTATCACATCAATAATTTATACGCAGTATGCACTTGAGGAGATAGAACAGATTAAATATTTATTCCATTTCCTTTCAGGGCATCCTCATAACTTTTATGTACTGAGGGGCTTTAGTGCTGTGGTCACTTATTACAGTAGTGGCCCAATAAATCATGCTTCCCTCTCTCTATGCCCTTGTGCAGTTCCCTCCCACGTTATTCTGGGTTTGATCGTGTGACTTGTTTTAGACATTTGTTAATGGAACAAGAAGAGCTTTAAAAAGCACTTGTGCATTGGGGCTTGCTAAATTGCTGACCTAGAGAGTCTGAGCAAATGAAGTTTTGTTGTTGTCCTAAGCCACGAAGTTTTGGAGGAGTTTACCATGCAGCAAGGTATGATTGCCACAAGTGAAACATTGCATGACTTTCTCTTTTTGACTTGAAATATATCATGGAGTTCTGAATATCCATGACTGAGTACCTTCAAAATGCATTTCAGGTCATACTTGAGTTTGGAATGTACATACAAAGGATTAGCTGATGTGAGATGGGACAAAAGAGATGGATACACAATTTGGATTTGAGAATAGAATGGAAATCCAGCAGAAACTGGGCAAAAAAAAAAAAAAAAAAAAAAGCACTGAGAAAGGGATAAAATGTCTAAATCGCTTGAATTTAACTAAACTACATAACTCATGCTCCTCTCCCCCATGATGTGCCTAATGTCAATCTGGGCCCCGGAGCCTAAGAAAGAGGTGAGCCTCTGGATGGCTGCCCAGTCATCCCAGCTGAGCAAAGCAACAGAAGGAAATTACGTGAGTCACTGTTGAAAAGGGCCCCATCTCTATGTCCTGGATTATAATTTTAATCTGAAATTATAGGACAATAAGACACGAAAGTTTGTTATTTCACTGAGAAATTATTTATACATACTGTTTTTAAGAACAAGTGTTTCTGTTAATGTAAATTATAGCCATAAAAGATATATAAGACATGAAATAAATGAAATAGCAGCATATCTTTAACATTTCTTTTTTCTGAAAGCTTCTAGACAAGGAATAGATTTACACCATATATGTTGGTTAATGCTCACTAGTTCTGAGGCACAATAAAAACAGAAGATCAGATCCTTAAGTCTTGGCTCTGCCATTTACTAGCTTCTTGACCTTGAATAAATTATTTTGCTAGGCTGCCTATTGCTTTTTCTATAAAATTGGATTAATAGCATTCCATATTGCATACTTCTGCTATGGCTTGAATGTCTTTGTACCCTCAACATTTGTATGTTGAAATTCTAAGCCCCAAAGTTAGAGGTAGATTAGGTCACGGAGGTGGGGCCCTCACGAATGTGATGAGTGCCGTTAGACAAGCCCATGAGAAACCCCTTGTCCCTTCTACTATGTGAGGGCACAGCAAAAAGGCACCATCTATCTATAAGCCAAAAGGCGGGCCCTCACCAGACACCAAATTTGCTGGCACCTCCACCTGAACTTAGCCTCCTAGACTGTGAGAAATAAATTTCTGTTGATTTTAAACTACCCAGCCTATGGCATTTTGTTATAGCAGCCTGAAGGCACTAAAAGAACTTTTCCGCATGGTTTTGATAATAAAATGAGATAATGTAATCAGATGGGAACCAATAATCATTCAGTAAGTAGTATCGACAGGTGATACTGACCTGATAGAAGAAAACTTTAACACGACTTACCCAGCATCTGTTCTATTGCCGCAAAGGAGAGCGTATCTTTCTCCTTCCAAATAATAAAAGTTTTCTGTTTCTGAAAAATAGGCAAAAAATAATAGTCTGTATCAAATCTTGAGTTAGCAGCATATCTGAAGTCTATTTTGATCTCCAAAGAAGATAAACATCTCTATTCCAGATGAGAAGAACGGAGCAAATATCCTGGCCTTTTTTACTTAGCATCTGATGCAAAAGCCAAAAAGCCTTTGAAGTCCGGCAAAATGGCAAAATGTTGAGTGTTCAACATTTCTGGGAAGACTTCTCTGCCTTTAACAAAAGTTTTACTTTTTGACTTAGATGGCAAGTGATTCTTACCTCGAATGTAATATGGATTTCCAGTTCTGTTGTGCAGAGTTTCATTTTCATTTTCTTGGGGCCATCGCAGACATTTATGCTTCAGGTTGCCCATGAAGAGCCCCATCCCAATTAGAGAAAATATGCTCAGAAAAAATAGAGTTAAGATAATGACACCAATGAGTTTCTTCAGGCAACAGATCAGGATCCCCACAAGGGACTGCAGACCTGAAAAGAGAAAGGGTTGTTTTTGATAAAATAAAACATCTCAGTACAGCAGCATTAACAAACCTCTTCTATGGCAATGCATGCTCCATTGAAATCAACAGCTTTGTGCCTTATAATCTAATTTTCATTATTTAGATCTAATAAATAATCAACGAAACTTTGAGGTTTCTATATTATTGCTAATTTATAACACCTGATGAAATAATTCAAACACAATATTTCAAATTAGTTGTTTGTTTCTCTTTACTATATAAAGAACAACAACCTTTCTCTCTTGGTTACTGCTTCTTATACCATCCACCCATGTTATAAGCTCAATAATGAATGAAAATATATTAGCTCTGTGATGTTGAACAAGTTATTAATATCATCATTTCTATACCTCAGGTTTATCATCTTGAAAATGGGAATAATAATAATACCTAATTCATATATCATTGTGAGAATTGAAAAGCTATTTTTTAAATGGCCTCAGCTGATTAGATTTCTTGAATGAAATAGGATAGGATTGAAATAAAGTCATTTGTGGCAAAAGAAATGTGAAAATCTAGATTAAATACATAATTTTTATTGACATCACACTTCAATATGTGTTTGTAGCCTACTTTTGCCACTTAGGATTATACCATTATTTTTTTTAACTATCAACAATTCTTTTTAAGTATCATATTAGAAATATAATAGAATTTCTGTGTCAAATATACAGCCATGTTTAAGTGTTGATACATATGTTCAAATTGTTTTTAAGAGATGTTGAACCAAGTGTAAATCAGACTATAAGCCTTCACTAAAACTGTGACATTTAAAAAAAACATTGTTGCCAATATAAGATCACTTTAAAGTAATTTCTGTTTTTAAAAATATGTCTATTTGCATTGTGTACTTACTTGGTAACTGTAATGGGTCCTCTGTATATTTGTATACTGAAATCTTTTTCATATTGTTTTGTGAGAATTATTTTTGAGAAGAGTAATTCTTAAATAAGGATATATAATGTGTATGCATATGTGGAGATATATATATACACACACACACACACACACACACACACACACACACACACACATATATATATCCATGGTATACTCAGTTTCTTGTGGAGCTTTAATTTTAGTGGTAACATTTTGTTTGAAGGTAAAAACTGTCACCATCAAATTTTTACAGAATTAAATTTATTAATAATTTTCATTATTATCTGAAATTCAGATTATTGTTAGAAATGTCCCGGTCACATGCCAATCTTGATTTTAATTTTCTGGTATAACTTCCTCCTTATTTTTATTTTAACTTATCATTGTGTTTAGTTATGTATCTTATAGAGTTTAATTTTATATCTGATTTAATACTAAAGTTTCTGTCCCCTTGACAGAAAATATTTAACTCAATTGCATTTATTTTTGAAAATTAGCTTCACTTTTGGGTATACCTTTACCATTTTATTATTTGATTTCTATATTTTCCTTATGATTTACTGTTTCCTATCCTTTCTAAACTAATTTTTTCTTTACTATTTTAGAAAAAATACATCTGTTTTAAAAACTTCTATCAAATTTAAGTTCCTATTTTGAATCACATGCAAATCTCTACATCAAAAATAAGGTTGTATCTACTCTAGTCCTACCATATAAGATAAAAAAAAAACCATATTTACTTTCTTAATTTTCTGTATTCCCATTTCTCAGTTTTTAATGCAATTTAGGACTTTTGTCCTAGCTATACTTGCTGAATTATTATTTTTTTACATTATGTATTGTCTTTCATGATTTATAGGAAGGGTAACATTCAAATCCTTACAAAGGCTTGACAGGAAGCATAAATTCATGCAAACAGGGAGTTGAGGGGATTTGAATCAATATGCCTAATTTGAAAGGGCAGCTGCTCCTCATCTACAGCAGGTGGTTTCCATACAGAAGCACAGGTGAATGTATGCTGACAATTCATCCAAGTTAACTTAGATAAAATGACCAGAATTTTTATAATGTTGGCAACTATTTTAAAGTTTTCTAAAACACAAACAAAATACGTCCCTGGTTCAAGAATGATCCGCAGATATCCCCGTTGTAACTTCTGATTTCTAATATTTGCATCCTGTTTCGCAACCCACTAAAAGGAGTAATTTGTAATCCATTCTCTGTTGAAATGATTTCAGAGCTCATTGCAATGGCTTTTGAAATGAAATCATGCCGTTATTTAATATTATATTTTCATACTTTTTTCAGCAGATATTTGGGAAAGACACACGTGTACAATGTCAGGACTTTTGCACGGCTGAGGATATCTTTCTGTCGACTTCACATATGAATGACAGACAGGTACAGAATTGTATGTTTCAACCTCTCTGCCTACACTTCCCCCAAGTTCTGAAACTCCACTGTCTTCTCAAGTTTTATAGTACTAAGAGGTCTAAGGATGACTTTTCCATTAAATCTGCTTCTCTGAATTTTTTTTTGTAGAGTTTTATAATACTTTTATTCTTTAATATTTTAAATTTATGAAAGCTTATAGTATGTCTAAATGTATTTTCTAGTTATTTTTTAATCTAGTAGGAGATGGGTCCTTTCATTTGTAAAGCCTCCAGTTAATAAATCTAGATTTTTTCCTACTGTATTTTTGAAAAATTTGCCTTTTACATTTATTCTGGCCTTTTTTCAGGATCACCAATTATCCATCGAGTTTTCTCTCCTTCATTAATCCATTCCATTTTTGATTCTACTTTATTAATACAGAATACCCCTAGTCTTTCTTTACATAATTATGCTTGTTTGATGCACTAATAATGCTGTATTTTACTGTTTCTATTACCATTTAATGTTCACCTAGAGTATTATAATTTTCATCACATTTTTGTTTTAAAGTTATTTGTGTTTGCCTATTTTATTATCTCATTTTCGTTTTCTTCTTGAGAGAGTCAAAGTTTTCTTCTATTGAGACTACAAAATAGATGTTTTCTATGCTTGCTTCTATGCCTTAAGTACAATATTTTTTTTAAAGAAAGAGGATCACTTTCTTCGTATTAAATAGTATGTTTGTCTTTCTGTATTGCAAGACATTTTCATGTACTCCATATTGCTGGTATGTGCCTTGTACAGCATCCCTCGAAAAAACAGTGGTAAGTCCCTACTAGCCTGTGAGCTCCAACGCTAGTGAAAGAATTCTTCTTGTCTTAAATTCACCTGATTTCTTTTATAATCCTTACCTCTTTTCCTAAGATGAAAATGCAGGTGACGCAGTCTTACGTTCTAGTAACATTTTGGGAGGACTAGGGGAGCCAAAGTTGCAGAAATTCCTACCATGGTAAATCTCACTACTTGTTTCCTTCACTAGATGTGACAAAGCTGCCATGCTACAGACCAGTTTTTAAAAATAGCTTTATTGAGATGTAATTCACAAACCCTACAATTCACCAATTTAATGTGTATGAGTCAGTATTTTAGTATATCCACAGGTTATGAATCCATCACCACATGTCTGGCCTTGATCCTAGAGTTCTGGTCCACAAAAGTTACTTATAGACCTTATTTTTGTTACATTTGTTTCTTTTCTTTTCTTTTTTTTTTTTGAGGCAGAGTCTCCCTGTGTTGCCTGGGCTAGAGTGCTGTGGCGTCATCCTAGCTCAAAGCAACCTCAAACTCCTGGGCTCAAGCGATCCTTCTGCCTCAGCCTCCCGAGTAGCTGGGACTACAGGCATGCACCACCATGCCTGGCTAATTTTTTCTATATATTTTTAGTTGTTCAATTAATTTCTTTCTATTTTTAGTAGAGACGGGATCTCACTCTTGCTCAGGCTGGATTCGAATTCCTGAGCTCAAACAATCCGCCTGCCTCGGCCTCCCAGAGAGCTAGGATTACAGATGTGAGCCACCGCGCCCGGCCTTACATTTGTTTCTTGATACAACTATTTCATAATACTTCTGACTCATAGTAGCCAAAAGATTCTGAGTGGAGTCGTTCTTATCTGATTGATTTACTCATTCAGAACAATGCATTAGGTGGTATTGGTGGGCTCCCTCTTGGATATCTTCAGAAATGGGAGCTGTAAGTTAGTCTTCAGTATCTTCCATCAAAGTGGTCACAGCTCTAGCGGATTTACTGGAACCTCCTTGAGTTTTGTGACACGTGAGATGTACACTATCCAAGCACTCAGAGCAAAGGGTACTTATTTTATATTTATTTTATTTTATATTACTCTGTTCATTTCAACTGGTTTCTTGATGTGATAAGGAAAAGAAGGAGGCAGATCGGACATCTGTCTAGAGTGCTATTTACCTCAGAATTCTATGGACAATTTTATAAGTTTGTAAAGATACAAAAATTAAAAATATATTTGGTTGATGTCTATATTTGGGTTTTTAAAGTATTGAACGACAGTCAAATATATTTTTTTCCTTGCCTTTCTTGGAGTGATAAATAAATTGAAAGATCAGATAACTTATTAAATCCCAATTGGGAACATTATTCAATTTTACATTGTCTCTGAACAACAACAGGGGAGTTCAAATGAATATATGACAGTACATAAAACAAAACGAGGAAAAGGAATTCAATGCCATTTCTTACCTGAGTTTAAAGGAATAATTTTCAAAATTCTCAAAGTTCTTACAGTTTGAAGCATTAGAATGAAGTTCAGAGGTGAATATCTTGCTATAAGCCTGTGGAATTAAAGTATTTAGAGGTCATATTGAGTCTAATGCTACTTATCTTTGGCTTTTTATACTTTTTGAAACATACTTTTAAAATCCCATATTCATACAATTCCTTTGCTCACATTATTCCACTTTTGCATATAGTTTTATCATTGACTGGAAGACAAAGATTGCCACAGTGTGAGGTGGCCAGGTTAAATATAAACCTACAAACTTAAATTATGAGAGTTTACAAAAGCTTGACACTGTGAATACTCTGAATTTCACATCAAATATTTTATGTTATATCCACAAATATTTTGTTACTGGATTACTGAAAAAAAAGTTAAGAAAAATTAATAGCTAGCTTTTTGAAGGAATGAAATTCATTTTAAGTATTTAAACTTATGATGATGACAGAGATGGTATGAAAATGGTGATGATAGTGATGATGGTGACGATGATGATGCTGATGATGGTGAATGATGATGATGGTAGAAGGCAAACTGTGTATTGCTTAAGGGCACAGACTCTGGAGCCCAGTTGCCTGTGTAGAAATCTAGGCTCCACCATTAACTAGCTGGCGACACGGAAAAATTACTTAAATCTTTCTTGCCTTAGTTTCCTCAATTGTAAAGTAGAGTTAATAATACTTCCTGATTCAGAGGCTTTTTGTGGGGATTTAATGAGTTAACATATGTAAAGTGCTTAAAGGGGCACCCGGCATATACTAAGGTGTCTCTAAGCTTCAGCTAACAGCAACAGCAAAAACAGCAGAAATAAATGGTAATAGCAGTAAAAATAGTAATGGCAACAATTACAATAATATGAAGTGCTATTTTAGATTGCTTTCAACATGGAGGACACTATTTATGCTCTTTATAAAGGTTATTTTAAAAAAAATGACCAAAACTCTACAAATAGAACGTCATTTTAAATTGTTTTTAACAGAAGTTTTGATGCCAATGATCATTCCCATAGCTATACAAAAGAATACACTAAATAGAAGTTTGAAAAAATAAATAGATGTGAAATTATTAAAATTGTATGTAACACTAAAGAAAAGTGTATGGGGGTGGAGGGTGTTTAAAATGCATTTATTCTGATATCTAGCATGTCTACTGGTCTTAAGCAATGTAGCTACATAACATGTAGATTGGGGATGGAGAATCAAATATGTTAGGATCCTCTCCTTAATATTCAGGGAATTCTCTGCTCACTGCTCACTGGAAAAAATCACGTAAAATGTACAAATTCAATCCCTAGCATTCTTGCTCCAGACAGAAAACAGAAAACATCCCATTCCTTTCATTTCCATTGCATCTTCTGAAGGCTCAGAGACAACTGCCTGAGAGAATTCATTATGACTATGGCTTTGAAATAGTCTTCACTCGCAGTATGTTTGCAGGCAGAAATCCTTGAAGACCCCAATTATTTTTTATGAAGCATTTGCTTAGTATAACATTAAGATGTATGCAATTTAAAGAAATACTTACTCAAACAAAGTTATGCTGAAATCAAGCCAGTTCCATGGATCACCAAGGAAAGAAAAAGATCCTGCCCAGACACCTCTCGCAAAGAGTTTTATAATTATTTCAAATGTGTAAATTCCAAGCAAAGTATTCCTGCAGAAAAATTTTGATATAAATATTAAAAGTGAGAATGACACATTGGTACATCTGAAATGCTATAATATGTCTGTGATAACCATCTAGAATTTGAGAATAAGTTATCAGAAAGGTGAGACCAGGTCTCCTTGGCAGGCCAAAACCAACTAACCACCAATCAATTAGACAACAGTCAACAAGGTAACTGCTCCTGAACCTTAGCCCAAGTCTTATGACATTAACCATGACATTTGACTATTAAATTTTTTCAGTAAGTTCAAGCTCAGAGGTGAGGCTTTTTATGTATTATGTAAGTAAATGATGAAAACACCAAATATCTAATTTGTTGCCTATAAGGATTATATAATAATTAACTTAATAATAATTAAAGGACTTTGGAAGATATAATTTTATTACACACATCTACAAGGATTTTTTATGGTGAATCAGTGTTATAGTTACCCTCCAAAGTCAATTAGTTTTAAGAACAAAGTTAAAGCTCAAGAGGTAACTTTAAGAAAGCCTTTTTCCTAGAAAATTTAATGAGCCTTTCCATCGTTGTAGTCTAATGCAAATAAGACTACTCCCATCCCCTAGGAAAGAGCAGAGACATAGAACAGAAAGGAAGAGAAAGTAATAGTTTTCTTAATAACTTGAAAGAGATAAGATTTATGTGAGTCAGAAGCAAATCAGGTATAGAGCTGCAATTGTAAAAAAGACCTGAGACATTGAAATATTATATTAAACGTTAAATATTAAATTGCATAATGTTAGAAAATACAGTATATTACATAATTTAATGTTATTAAATTAAAATGTTAAGTGTTAAAAATAAAATATAATTATATATAATATTATATATAATAAAATTGTATAACTTACTCTAATATGGGTCCCCATTTTGGCAAATTGGTCATGGACATAAATATGCAATCAGTCAGGACACTGAATAAAATTAACAGTCGGAAAAAGGTAGGTTACAGTCAAGGAATAATAAATAATACTGGAAAAGATACATTCCTATAATCTGTTTATATTTATACACACAAGATAAAATATTCTTTGTGTGTGTTATGAAAGTTTTATTAGTCATTCACTCTATCATTAATACTCTTTGTAATGCAAGCCCTTCTGAACTGGAATGGTTCTTGTTAGGGTTTTTTTTTTTTTCTTTTGAAAGAAAAAAGAAAAAAATTCTTAAATGTTAAAAAAAATCAATCATGTTGAACAACAATGGGGATTAATATTTGTTAATATTTATTGATGTGGGTACTAGAAAATATACTTTATATGTATTTTCAAATGTGGAACACTTAATGAAATATAATCCAGATTTCAATATGACCTAACATGACATATAAATTTGAAAGAGAAAAATACTGCATCAAAATTTGAATAATAGTATAGTTGCATTTGATGTTAGTACAGTTTAAAGCATAGTCAACAAGCCAGCAGAAAAGGATATGGATGCACCAAAACCTTGATAGTTGTTCCTCTAATAGAACTGAAAGGAGACAATGTACATAAGATGGAAGCAGCATTGAATCTGAAGATTGTTCTGTTTTTATTTAATACTATGAAAGTCTGTAAGAAAAAAATCAAGTGAAATTAGAACTCAGAACTATAATCTCATCAATTATGCAACATGTTAATGATCATTACAGTTTTGAATTATAATAGTTATACTTTTCTTCCTTTTGATATTCTTTTATAGACTAAGTCAAATGGAAAAACATTTAACTGTTTTTATTAATGCTTAGGCATATCCACTTATCTATGATTTTTGTTTTGTTTTGTTTTGCTAGAGTTGTACTCAAGAAAGTTGTTTGCCATACACCACATCCCCAAGTTTCCCCACGGAACTAACGCAATAGGAAGAACACTATATCCCTACGGCTTGCAGAGATGCATTTAAAAGTACTAGAGGTGGTTCATCTCAGAATTTAATGAATGTAAAAAAAAGTTAGATTTCATGTCAGAGCAAAGCAAATGTGGGATTACAGTAGTAAAGAAGATTCAATGCATTGAAATAGTGCATCAATCATTAACAATGTTCTATAAAATAGGGAAGGGGGAAGATGGTTGACTAAGAGACATTACTTGTCAAACCATCCCAGAGGGAAGATAGAAATTCTGACTAAGGAAAGAGGAGAAGAGACACAGAGTGGATGTGGATCATAGAGAGAGGTACCAGAGCCTGCCAGAGATTTCGTGGAGGAAAATTGCAAAGCAGAAAAGGTAAAAGATAAAGGGAAAAGTCATCAGGGAAATGCAAATTAAAACCACAGTGAGATATCACCTTACTCCAGTAAGAATGGCCTTTCTTAAAAAGTCCAAAAACAACAGATGCTAGTGTGGATGCAGAGAGAAATGAACACTTATACACTGTTGATGGGGCTGCAAATTAGTACAACGTCTATGGAAAACAGTACAGAGATTCCTCAAAGAACTAAAAGTCGACCTATGATTTGATCCAGCAATCTCATTACTGGGCATTTACCCAAAGGAAATGAAGTCATTTTATCAAAAAGACACCTGCACTTGAATTTTTATTGCAGCACAATTCACAATTGCAAAGATGTGGAATCAACCCAAGTGCCTATCAATTCATGAGTGGATTAACAAAATGTGGTATATATACACCATGAAATATTACTTAGCCATAAAGAAGAATAACTTAATGCCTTTTGCAATTTGGATCGAACTGGAGACCATTATGCTAAGTGAAGTATCTAAAGAATGGAAAAACAAACACTGCATGTACTTGCTATTAAATTGGAACTAACTGATGAGCACACATGTGCATAGAGGGAAGTAAATAAAACTCAACAGATATAAAGCAAGGAGGAGGGGGAGGACGGGATGGGCAAAAAGCTACCTGATGGGTACAATGGACAATATCTGGGTGATGGGCAATCTTAGAACCATGATTCAAGTATTATAATAGTGATCCAGGTAACCAAAATTATTTGTACCTCCTAATACTTTGAAATAAAAAGAAACACATTCTATAAAATGAAGCCCAACTTGTGTCATAGATAATTTAGATGCATCTAAACCAGACATTTATATCATGTAAACTAACATATTGGAAATTAAAGCATTAAATTCTTCATTGTAAAGAGGTAATTCCAGACATAATAATTTTCCAATTTTAAGAGATGAAATTGTTTTAAGAATTTTATAATTATTTGTTTTATGCCCTCTTTAACAGAATAAGCTGAATACAACTTAAAAGTTTAAATAGATTGGTGTCATTGATAATAGCACTTTTTATACTAAGCTATTCTTGCTGTTTTTGACCCAGGTGTTTCATAAAAACTAGACCATGAATAACTCTGGGCCTTGCTTTAGTCTTCATAATTCTTAGCTTTATCTTCAATAACAAACCCAGTTTTGCCTACCATGTCTGTGTACACTGCAGGGCACTCCCAACTCTGCTGCATTGCAGCTACTCCTAAGGTTACTATGCCATCTCAATTGTTAGGATGTAAGCATAGCAAAAACTGAATGCAGAGATGATTGGGATGAGTGAGGACTTGACTGACACTTTCACTAAAATGTTCTCAAGATTATGCAAGTGTTTTATAGCTAATGTTACATATTGCACGTCTTTTTTAGTGCATACACACACACACACATACACACATATACACTCTTCTACTGTAAAATGTCAATACTCCTCCACCACAAAAAGTATTCCAAAGGGCTGTAGTTATTTAAAAAATCACTTTGTCCTCTGTCCAGAGACTTTGGTTCAATTCTATGTCAAGCATTGGATATTATAATATCATTGAATGTTCCACAATATCAAATTATATTTGCCCACTGTGGGGCTACTCCTCACCTTCCACAAATTTGATCTTTTTATAGTTATCTCCTTTTGTCAATGGCACCACCATTCTTCCAAGCTGAAAATCTTGGCATTTAGTCAAATCCTGCTGTTTCTTCTCAAGTGTGTTCTCTCTCTCCTCTGCTACTGTAATCCAGATCTCTAGACATCAAGTCTGTATTACCCCCTCTCCTATTGCACCTTTCTGACCCTATCTCTTCTGTGCAATAGTAATTCCGAAATCTGCCAGATTAAATCTACTTAAACATTGCACTCATCACATCAGTCCCTATGATCACCATATTAAATTCATGTCGACACCTCCATTATCTAATCTTACATTCCACAACTTGCAACACAGCTAAGTTTCCAGTTATAGCATCACTCTGTCTTTTCCCCATTCCAGAATCAATCTGTGTTGTTTCCTGCTCACAGAAAGTCTTCCCTTTGCCTTATTAAAATCTGAAGTGTTCTTCAAACTATTTACTCAAATTATACTTCCTCAATGACTATTCCAGGTTCATTGGTTCACAAAGATCTCTACCCTTTTAAAACATAATTATTCATATTTAGCATTTTGTGCTTGTTCTGGGATTGTACATATGTAAGTAGGTGCCTCAAGTCATTCTGGACTTAAGATAAGGTTTGAATTAATGTGTGTATGAATGAATAAAAATGATAAATAAGATGCAGGTTAGAATTTACTTTCTTAACTTCTGAGTAAGCTCATCAAGTTGAACATTTTAAATTGTCCTACCTATCCTAGACATTTTATAGTTACTTTAAAATTGATAACTATAAATAGTCATTATCATGTTCCCTTAAAACAAGTCATTTACATTAAGGCATATCGGTACCTATATTAAGAAGTAAAGTTACCCAAAATAAACTACTCAACCAGGTAAGACATCAGTTTTGATAAAAATCTCAAATATATGTGTCCCCAAAATGAAATATCTTATGTAGTTCTGTATAATTTAAAATTAGCTCCTCCTTCTTCTTCATTCTCTTTTTATACCCTATCTCAATTACATTTTTTGCATGTCTGTAAATAAAATAAAAATGTAGTCCTAATAATTTCAATTAATTCTCACATTTTTTTTCTTGTAGTAGTATGGGTCCACGTCTTCCAAGGGCTCTGACACCATTCCTCGAGAAAGGTTTCCGTAAATAAATGGAAGCTCTTTGCCAACTTCCAAGTCAGTGTTTGCCTTTAAATCTTCTTCTTCATGTTCCTCGCTGTGTTTTTTAGCAATACGTTGTTTTATAAGCTCAAAAGACTCTGTAGTGAAGGGGACAAGGCCCTTAGGTTCTGGTGAAGCCAACATTTCCAATTTTGTACCTGTAAGAAATTAATTTTCTTTAATTCTATATAAAAGTGGGCATATCAAGAAAAACATAAAGTTAAAAAGGTTAGGATATGAAAAATAGAGATCAGCAAGTGAATACATGCATTCATTTAAAGAACACAGAACACATTCCTGAGTTTTGTAAAAATCTAAGTTGTTCTGAGTTTTACCGTACTTAATATCAGACTTAATCTGTAATTTCATGAATAACTCAATTGCTTCATTTACTCATCTTTTGAACACTCTTTTTTATTTTTTTACTGAAATCTGCTTTTAACTTCTCCACTCTAATAAAAGAATTCAAAGGTTGCTAAAGATCTTTTTTTTTTTTTCCCAGAGACAAATCCAATTATTTGAGCTGTATTTAACGACTGACTCTACTTCCTTCACTTAAACTTAGTCTTCACGGATCTGGAGCCCACCCTTCTGTATCTCCTTTTATATCTCTGATTACTTCCCTTGTCTCATTTTTAACACAGGTCAAATTTTAACCCCAATTTTAACTCTCATATCCCTTAACATTCTGCCTTCCTCCTCAGTTATAGCCATCATTCTGATGAATGCATGGACAGACACAAAGTTTTAATTACTGTATTCAAATGACTATTGACCAAGTACATTTTTCAAAACCCTTTCTTCTTCCAGCTGCCTATGTGGTAATTTCACCAATGGCAGCACTTAACAGGTAAAAACAAAATTCATTGTGTTTGTACTTGATTAGAATCACTCTTTAACATCTGAACTACTGTAGAAACAAAAACTCAAATTCAATACCTTGAAAATTACTTGTGACATTTTTCTCTCTGTCATCAATCTCTCTACACAAAATAATTTTCTTTCAGCAAGTTTCCATTATGAATCTTGAATACTATTAATATCTATTTATATACCTACTTGAAGATAGTCATCTTTGTAATTCTATATTTGAGAGGCTCTACTAGTCTTCACATATTTCAATTCTAGTCTTAACCTATTCAAGTCATCCTACAGCCCATTCAAAATGAAAGTGTTTATCAAATATAATTACTTGAATTCCTATTGATGAACCTTTTCATTTTTCACATATACAAATATGTCCTTTGCTGATTTGTTCCAGTCTAATTCCTCTTAAAATTTACTCTTCAAGTGATCGATGTTGAATGATTGATTTTTCTTTATTTGTTTGCCTAAATCCTCTTTGTAATTTTATTATTATAATTAAGGGTAGGAAATCTTGTACTTGATACTGTGGCATTTTGTATCTGTATATTTTCTCTTGCAGTGCTGGGTCTAGCTGAATTCCTTCTATAAGATTTTTCTAAGACAGAAATCAACCACACACATATACATACATTGTTCTACTTCAGAATTTTCTACTGTTGTGAAAAACTGAGTTAATATTTTAATAAATTACTTATCTATTAATTAAAAGTATTAAAGAGATAAGGTAATTAATATTAATGGGGCACCACTCATTGCAAGAATCAGACTTCCACTGCTAGCTTAAGTAAATGGTGAGTGGGAGATATTTTAAATATTATTCAAGGAAAGGACACATAGTATATTTCTGTGTCATAAATGTGCTATGGAAAATAAAAATGAGAAATAAAAACAGAAATAAAATACTGGGATGACTATTTATGCTTTTCATGGGATCACACATTTTCTGGGCTTTGCTTTTCATGCCGCTGCATTCTACCTGAAAAATGGCTTCCTTCTGAGAATGTGTATAGACCAAAATATTACAACAGCCTTAACTTTATTTGATTTTTCAGTTTAAGTTCCCACTGTATACCTATAATCTATGTTTCAATAAAAAGGTAAATAGATATATACTCTAATTGGCCTAACTAACCTATAAATTCATTTCCCCTTGGTTCAGTCATTTATGATCAGAGGGAAGGACATTTTTGCAACAGCAATGGCTGCTTATACCCAAGTCCTTCAACAGATGTTTCAGGGATAGGGTACAAGGCAATTCTAAAGAAAGGAATATGGACTCGGAAGACCAGCATATCTCTACTTTGAACTCTCTTCCCAAACTAATGGTATAAAAACTCAAAATTGCTCACCTTAAAATTTACTTATTTCCAAATGTCTTGCTCAATATCATGCACAAAACTGAGACTTATTAAAATTTTTCTAAGAATTATTCATATGCCCAACATGCACACACAAACACTTCATATATTAAACTTTATCAAGGGAAGCCAAGATCCTTTGAATAAGTACAATTTATAAGCCTAAGCTACATACAAATAAAGTTTTCTCTTGCATACAAAATCTTTTTCTTTAAAATATTTAATGAGCCTTTCAAAGTTATATTCCTTACACAGAAATCCTTGAATAGATATGAAATAGTTTCTTCATAACTCACAGTTGTTAAACATTAATTACTATATTATGATACTATAGTGATGCTCTCATAGGCAATAATTAAATGATTTTGTTATGCTGTTAGAGTCCTACTGTTTCCTGCTTTAGCAATCAACTGAGACTTGATATTGCATTGCTATTTCTAATCTGCTCCTTCTATTGTCAAAAGTGAAGAACTAAATTTTCTGGGTGAAGGTTGTTTGAGCTTTTTAAAAAATATGTAGTCTTTATGGCAATTACGGGCTGCTCAGGATATACTTCTTTGTACATGAACCTACACTATTCAAGTTTTATTTTCTCACCACAAGTCTTGAGTATTTCACAAGGAAAATAAAGTATATATATTTGGACTTTAGTAAGTCAATTTATAAAATGTCTCATAACATGAAAAAATATATGATAGATAGTATTATAATTAGGCAGATTATAAAGGCTTGGGATCTTTGTCCAAAGGCTGCTGAACAATGGACATGACACACTTAAGTCCTTTTTATTCTATATGGCTTATTCAACACGTCAACAGTTTCAGCTGTAGTGGAGAAATAGCCTAGAAGAAACAAATAAATAAAACCAGGAAGTTTGATCTTAGCTAGATCTACATTCAAATCCTAAACTCTGTTACTAATGTTCTAAGAGACCTCAGTCAAAACACTGGGGTCTTAATACTTTCTAACTTGTTTTCTCAGTCGTAAAATTAGGATTCCTCCTTGGGTTAAATAAGGATAAAATAAAATAATACGAGTGAAAATTCCTGGTACAGTGATTGGCACATATTAATAATAGATGGGAAA